GGATGTCCCTTCTAAGGCCCCAGGACAGGCTGTGGGTGTCAGCACCAGGACATGACAGGATGTGGGAAGACACACACATGATGCATTCGTGTTCACCCCCATCTGGGCAATGGGACAGCCCTCCTTTCTTCACAGATGGTGGCAATAGCTGGACACCTGCCTTCAAGGTTGTTGGGTGGCATGGAGTCAAGTGGGGGACAGGTGGGAATGACGAGTGCAGGAGGGGAAGACATGATATGAGAAATCTTCAACCTGACAGGCGTGCTCCCAGGAAGGAGCTGGGATCCAGGCGCACCATCAGCAGGGCTCATTGCCATGCTCAACCAGCCACGAGCCTCCATGGGACACACATGCACAAATGCAGGGGATCCATTAGGGATACCTCTCAGGCATAGAGGGGCTGGGCGGGAGTCCCAACACCACCTTTTATTCCATAGTAAATTACCTTTCTCCCAAATATTAAATGACACATGGATACTTAGAAGGACAAAGAAAATATAAAAATAAAAATGAAAACAAAGAAAACCATGTATAAGTCCACTACACAGACTACTGGTAAGTTTTAGGGTATTTTTTCTTTTCTTTTCAAAAATATTAGAAAATTTTCCTTTACTTATCAATAGATATGCATCTAAGCCTATTTTGAGTACATGAAAATATTTCTTGGTGTAAAAACTGTATATTTTCTTGCTTTTTCCTATTTTCTTATTGTGGCCAAATGCACACAACAAAATTTTCCATCTTAACCATTTTTAAGTATTAGAATTTCCTTTTATGAACCTATTTTGTTGAATAAAAACCTCCTCAGTGTCATTATAAAATGTTTTTTGAAGCAAACTTTAGTTTCAGCTTCCATTATTCAAGTTGTATTTATTTTCGTCTTAAAAGAAAAGCAATTTTTATTTCCTTAAAGATTTTTATTTTGTTTATTTGACAGAGAGAGAAAGAGAGGGAGAGAGCACAAGCAAGGGGAGCAGCAGTCAGAAGGAGATGGAGAAGCAGACTTCTCACTAAGCAGGGAGCCTGATGCGGGGCTCAATCCCAGAACCCTGGGATCAAGACCTGAGCTGAAGGCATATGTTTAACTGACTGAGCCACTCAGATGACCCAATTTTTTGCTTTTCTAATTTGAGAAAAATAGTTGATTTTCTTTATGAGATTGAAATTTCTTTCTTTTTCTTTCTTTCTTTCTTTCTTTCTTTCTTTCTTTCTTTTCCTTCTTTCCTCCTTTCTTTCCTTCTTTCTCTCTTTCTTTCTCAGTATATTTTAACAACTGTGTTGTTTTAAAGTTAAGGTTATTTCACCAATCCATTATTATATTTATTCGTTTATTATTATTATTATTACTATTTTTTTTATCATATCAAATGCCCTCTTTAATTCCCATCACCCAGTTACCCCATCTGCCCACCCACCTCCCTTTCTGCAACCCTTAGTTTGCTTCCTGGAGTCAAGAGTCTCATATGGTTTGTCTCCCTCAATGATTTCTTCCCATTCAGTTTTCCCTCCCTTCTCTTATCATCTCCTGCCCCATTGCTTATGTTCCACATTTGAGTGAGACCATATGATAATTAGGTATCTCTGATTGAGTTATTTCTTTTTAAGTTAAAATTATGTTACCTTTATTTAAATGTTTTGAAAAGATATTCAGATATAACAAGATTTTTAAAAGCATACCTTCTAGTTTTGTATCATTTCTTAAACAGATACGTAGTAATTTAATTCTTGGATTTTGAAAATATTTTTAAAAGAATGTTTATTTGAGAGAGAGCGAGAGAGAGCGCAAGGGGAGGGGCAGAGGGAGAGGGAGACAAGCTGATTCCCTGCTGAGAAGTCGGCTTGTCTCCCTCTCCCTTGGGGTTCCATCCTAGGACCCTCAGATCGCAACCTGAGCTGAAATCAAGAGTCAGGTGTTTAACTGACTGAGCCACCCAGGTACCCTGAAAGTTTACTTAAGTATCCTTAAAAATACTTAAAAAAATACTTAAAGATACTTTAAAAATACTTACAAATAAGTATATTTAAAAATATCTAAAAAATAAGTATAGTTAAAAAGTATAAGTATACTTAAAAAAGTATACTTAAAGGGCGTCTGGGTGGCTCAGTGGGTTAAGCCGCTGCTCAGGGTCCTGGGATCGAGCCTGCATCGGGCTCTTTGCTCAGCAAGGAGCCTGCTTCCTCCTCTCTCTCTACCTGCCTCTCTGCCTGCTTGTGATCTCTGTCTGTCAAATAAATAAATAAAATCTTAAAAAAAAGTATACTTAAAAATATTTCAGGGGAAAAATAAATGATTTAAACAGTGCTAAACAATACTATCTTATTTTCTTGCATATGGCTCTTTAGCTTATTTTTTAATTGTTGTTTATTACAGCATTATTACAATAGCCAATATATGTAGCAACCTGAGTACCTGTCAACAGATGAGTGGATAAGGGACATGTGGTACATACACAATGGAATGTTACAGAGCCATAAAGTGGATGAGATTATGCCATTTGAGACAATATGAATGGACCTAGAGAGTATTATGTTAAGTGAAATAAGATTGAGAAAGAAAAATACCATATGATATCACTAATAAATGATATCTAAAAAAAGAAAACCCAAATGAATAAAACATACAAAAAAAAAAAAAAACCAAAAAGCAGAATCAGACCTATAAATACAGAAAGCAAATTCTAGGTTGCCAAAGGAAAGTGGGGCCGGGGTTTGGGTGAAGGGGAGTGGGAAATGCAGGCTATCAATTATGGAATGAATAAATCATGGGAAGAAAAGACACAACATAAGGAATATAACAGCAATCTGTTGATTTATGGGGGCAGATTGTAGCTACACTTGTGGTGAACATAACATAATGTATAAATTTGTCTAATCATTATGTTGTACATCTGAAACTAATGTAACATTGTGTGTCAAATATACTCAAATATAAAAGACTTTAGAAATGTTTTCTTTCTTTTTTAAGATACATTTTCACTGAAGTATAATTAACATAGAGTGTTAGTTTCAGATGTACAACACAATGATTTAACAGTTCTAAACATTTCTCGGTGCTCACCATGGTGAGTATAGTCATCGCTTGTCACCAAACAATA